TCCAACCCTGTATCTCCACCCCTTCGTATCTCCAACATGGCAACCAGCATGCAGCGCTGCCACCAAAATGATGAGCGCCCGATGAAAAGCGCTTTAAACAGACAAAAAAAACGTGAGCCCCGCGTTCTGCCAGTTTCTTTTGTATTATCAGCGGTTTCTCTTAAGGATTTCACAAGGGCACAAGTGACGAAAGAAATGCATATCAGAATATAATGATATGAAAGCTAGGAAAGACCTCAACTTATCTGTTCGTCATCCTTAAGTGGTGCCCGCCAGCTGAGATTAGAGGAATCCAAAGATTCGTTTTGATTGGCGAGTTTTTGTCTGACTTGGTTTCTTACAAAGAGACTCAACTGCCTTACAGTATCAGAGGGATTTAAATCACAATGGGTGGACTTGCTGTTTATTGAATATGTTGGGCAGTTATATTCACCACTGCCAGAAACAGCGCAGCCCTTTGCAAGAGTATATTTTGAATCGATTTGCAGTGGTTAGTTATTAGGTATTTATTGTTTTTTTGGTTAAGGAATTGGCCAAGATCAGAGCAAGAGATGCCAAATCATCACATCATCACGAGCTCTTGCCCTTCGTTTGCCTCATCTGGATTGCTCGTAATAATATTGTCTCAGTCTGATTTTTAGATAACATTACCCAGAGCATTTACACAGTGTCTCTGAGGACATTGTCTTCACTTCACTATGCTGTTCTTTAATGTAGATGCTGTTTTTTTGCAGTGTGAAAGTCATGTTCATTGTTATGTTTTTGCACAAAAGCGGAACCTCCTACTGCCACAGAGTGCTTGTTTTTGAGTGTACAGATTTTGACATTGTAGCTGATCATATGGATTTTCTGCCTTGGTTTTGGATAGCCCCGGTAAAAACTTTGCTGCCATAGCACGCATAAACCAGTCAGGACAAGCTTGGCTGGTGTCCTGTACCTACTCAGTGGACAAAATCTCTAGTGCCATGTGGACTCTGTGACTCATACAAACCCCTTTTTAGACTGTGGCTGCTGAATGGGAAATGGTAATAATAGTATTTAATTATTTAAAGGTTATTTGACCGAAGAGTCAGGATATCATTGTGCTTTTTTTTTATAATAGCCACAATTTAAAAAAAAAAAAGAGTTACAGGAAATTTGTATTCAACATTTATGTCAAAATTTGGTCAAAATGAAGGGGAAAAGGGTATATTTGTATTCACTGCTGTCACTTTTTAAATGAAATGACTACTGTCGGCACTGCAATTCAAAGTGCAGCTGCTGTTTCTCTTCATGGTTTGATCTCCTTGCTGAAGAGATGAACAGCCTTTATATCTGTGTAGTGGTGAAGTTGCCTCTGTCATATTTATTATACTGTGATATCAGCTACTATACAAGAGCTTCATACTATCACTCTGGCTGATATATCAGTTTCTCAACAAAAAAAGTTCATCCTTTTTCATTTTGTGTGCCTTCTTCTCATATTTATTACATATATTAAAAATACCTACATAATCCATGTGATGTGCTGATACTACTGTACATGGTTTTATTAAATTTTTGTGATTGTAATTGCCAAAGAGAGAACAGTAAAGTACATTTCTTTGTGAAGGAAAAAAAAGCGCTAATCAGTCGAACCACTGCTTTAAAGCAAATATATCTGCTGTAAAAACAATAACAAATTTCACAGGGCCAAACTGGATTCCTATCAAAGCCAAATATCAATGTCAACAAATGAAAAACACTTCATGAATTTTGGGAGGAAAATATTTTGAATATGCAGTATGTGGAAAACAATTATACAGCTCATTTGCGTACTTATACAGTCTTTATTGGCAGGAAATAATAGCCAGACTTCAAACTTGGATGTGATTGTTTGAAACAAGTTTTAAATCTTTAAGATAAAACTGCCATTTTTACATAAACCAGCTGACTTGGCCGTTTGTTTTGACGATGATTAATATTTAGGACTTTAACAGGAACCAATCACATCATTTTAAATAAAATTGGACATGTGTGATGCCTTTCATTTAGAAGTTGGTCATATCCCAGGGTTGAGACTATTTTTTGTTCCTTGTTTAGTAACATGAGATAGTTCGGGATGTGTACTCTGTGGTTAAATGTGAAAAAGGCTTTCATGCTGAGCATTCACACCAAATGTTAGATTTGAACATTAAAACAAATCAACAATTATTTGTTTATGGCACTCGAAATGTCAACAGTGTAGGAAATTGTGGACGCTAGGAAGCGAGACCGAGGAGTGCGTCTTTTTGTGTATTCTCCATAAACACTGGCGGATGTTTCCAGAGAACTACTTAATTTTGTGGGGAAGTTGAAAACCACACAATTTAATCTACACGTATCACATTACCACTAACATTCACCCTCTTCAGAATCCTTTCTTTGGCTAAACAATTACATCACAATGACTTATGTCAGTTTTTTGTGTGACGCATTTCTGCAAGTCCCGTCAAGACATACTAGCTCTTCTGACTTCTTTTGTGGCAAAGCTCCACCACCGCCAATAAATCAAAACCATCATTGTCAGGAAGTTTCACAAAGGAACTTTTTATTTCCAATGTTTTCCTCTATCTTTAACTATAATCTTCCAAAAAGATGTGGTGAAAATAACAATGGCATTTATGCTCCGCATTTATTAACCCTTATGAATATCAAGTGCCATATCCAGTAGGTCTTGTATTCTCTTGTGGAGAAGCCTATTACTATAACATTTATGCAATGTTACCAAGGCAAGATACATTTCAAATTGTTTCAGTGTGCTGCATGATATTCCTGCTTTACTATGTAATGATAGAAAGCATAATATACTGAGCGTTCGGCATTAGTTCGTGATATGTTAAGGTATGGCCAGCTAATACTGCCGTCTCTTGAGGGGACAGCATTTGGCTCTGCTGAGGAACAAAAGAGAACCAGATAGGTAAACATGATGTTTGAAATCACTGTTCAGTCTTTCTGATCGATTCAGACCATGTTGTTTACAATTATTTAAGGAACATGCCAGTAATTTAGCTCATTTACTACAATTCATGAGTACTTTATCCACTTGCCAGTAGTTTTCCAAACCATGTTGGAATGTTTGGTATTTCAACTATCAGGTGAACGCAAACTGATGACACTCAGAGGATTAAGCCTTCTGGCTTTGTTGGTCTTTTGACTTTAAGAGCTCAAGTAAATATTTCACCAATAAATATCCACACTGATTAGATTGAACTGGACTCTGAAGCATCATGGGCATAGTCTTTACTGAGTTCACTTCCTTTTGCACCATTCATTAATGGGCTTTAGCCACTGGATGGGTAGACATGGACATTGGTGTGCTTGTCCCCTAAAATGCCTTTTGACTTTTCTTTTGGCAAACCCTGGCTCAGTTTGTTATTTGGAGGCATGGCGCTTTATGTGATAATATGTCACTGACAAACTATCCACTAACTCATCTTAACTGGAGTCAGCCTGGGACCATCAAACATCTTTGCAGTGTTTTTATTGCAACTGACTGACAAATAATGCAGTTAATTGTGCTAGCAGATGTCTGTGCTCCAGTCAGTGAGTGAAATTCACTCTATTGTATTTGTATATTTATTGCATGTATGCATGATACTTCTGCACTGTCCGTGCATGCACCTATGGTTAGGCATTTACGTCCTTGTCCAAATACGGTAATATTTGACTTAAAAAACCATTTTTATTTATTTATTTCTGATGGACATGATGTGTCCCTCTGTCACTGATTTGAAGCAGGACCTTATAAACCAATGGGTCATATAGTGTTGGCTAATCAGTCATTTATATACCGTATATGGCTGTACTTTGTTTTTATTAGTAATTTGGAAATGTTACAGTGATAACACAGGAAATCACAAAGGAACATGGTAAACACAATGCCTGCCAACATTAGCATGATACAATGGTGACTGTGAGCATGCTGCATATTAGTGTTAGCAGTTAGCTTAAGATATCGCTCTGCAGTATATTATCTTAAAGCAGCTAGTATTGCTGTAGTTATTTGTCTGGTCTTACCCCTACATTACAGACCGCAGTTAGTTTCCATGCATTTGTATGAATATAAAATAGAAGAAACTTACTTAATGTAATGATCTTTAATGAATGTAAACCAATGTCCATGCAAGTGTTAACAAAACTGCAAAACAATTGGTAGTGTAGTAACTCTAGTACTAAATGTTCTGAAGTATACATGAAATGTAGTTATTTAGCTAAAAATGCTGGCATGGTGATTCAGTCGCTTTGCTCAAAGAAGTAATTTGATCTGATGAAACGCTTCAACAGAATCCCTTTAGAGATGCATGGAAAACAATGGAGAAAGAACATAACCTCCACAGCCATCCAGATGTTTCATTCTACTCTTAAGTGCTAAAATCAGATGCTGTCACCTCAGGAATAATGTACTCTAGATGTGATATGAAGTGTTTTTGATTCTGTTGGTGCTCTTGGTGTGGATCGTGTGGGTTGGCCTTTTTATTTCTGGAACCTTTTGTGTGTATGCGTGTCTATTACCTTCCTGCCAGTCTAGCAGATGATTGATGGGCCTGTTGGTCAGTCTTTCTCTGCCTTTGTTTTTTACGGCAGGCCACCAAGTACTTCGACAGTCTCCGCTTCGGATGGGTCTAAGTGGGCCTCTCTGTCAGTCTCCCTTGATTGTGGTTTAGTATGTTACACTTGATTTTTCCAGAGTGAGTCATGTTAAAACAAAAAATGTAAAATAGAAAAAAAGAACAATGTTTATAATCCTGGGAAAGAAAAAAGTTTTTGTTCATGTGCAAATAAGGTATATACAGAATAAAACTTTATCATTACTAGATATTCCATTGCGTTAAGACTTCTGGCTGATGACCTTTTCTTACAGAATGACTGGTTTTTTTTCCACAGTGGATCAGATTTCTGTTAGTAACTTCTGTCACTTTGCCAACACGCATTTCCCATCCAAATGTGTGTGAGAATGCGAAGGAAGCACCCCGAGTCTGCTCTCCCAGTGTCTAGCCAACATCAGAAACTTGCATCCAGCCAAAATCAACATTGTCCAAGAAAAGAAAAGAAAAAGATTCTTAGGTCCATCCACATCTCTCCTCGCTGAACACTGAATTTGACTCTGCTACACATCCATTAACAAAGGCCCATAATGGTCATAAATTTAGCGATTCCTGATTTCCCTGTTGCACGCTGATCAAATGGTAAGTGAGTTTCTCATTAAGATGGTCCGATTTACACTTAAAACCTGAAACCAGCTGTGCACACAGTTTCAGAGCTACTATTCCTCACTGCCCCCAAAAGGCAAACTATAGGCTCATTTTACGCTTTATTATGGACGTTAAAACTAACCGTACTCCTACACGGTGTGCTGCTGAAACATAAAGAATAAAGGGATGCTTTGGGGCATTTTTAATGAGACCAATTACAATGACTTTCTTCTTTATAATGCCCTATATTGTTGGTAGCACGGATGGTGAATGACTATAAAGAGACTAATATGATTAAATTCTTGATTATGGTGTCAATCAAAAGTGACATTTTAGGCAAGTATAATTTGTACGTATCTGCAGCAAAGATGCACCATAAGAGGCATACAAATTTAAAATAGAATTTCTTATCATATTAAGACAGAGAAATTGCTAGCTCATAAGTTTATATTTTATAACTGATGCATATTTTTCATCTGTTTTTAGTGCTTTCCCTTTCCTTAATGTACAAAAGATTTAGTATCATGCCTGAAAGCTGTATTTTCCAGTGACAGCACAGTGTCTATGTTGGACTCCATTGTTTTCCCCCTCCAAACTCTTCCTCTCCGAAAGTATTATTCCTTGTCTGTCACGGATGACTTGCGATGTCAACAGCACACGGTGGATTTCCTGCCAAGGGTTCTGGATTTCGCGTCTGGCAACAAGATGACCCTGTTGGTTTACACTAACAGGTCACTCCTGTTGTGCTTTTGATTGTTATCCTAAGTCCCCGGGCTTGCGTCCCTCTGTCACTGATTGATATCTGGCCTGAAGTCCCAAAAGTAAAAGGCTTCTAATGTAAATATGAAGAGTTTATTATGTTGGTAATTAAATTTGTAAGTATTAACAGTCCTCTCATTACAAGATATTTATTTTCCTAAAATGGGCTTTCCAAAGATTATAGAGACGGAATCGTATTTGTGCACCAAAGTGTACCTTTTAAGTGCTTTTTCTCCTTCATTTACATGCATGTCCACTCTTCAAACCCCTACTGTCCCTCTTCTCATCTAATGCTTACCCTCGCATTCCTCACCACACCAGATGAAGAAGATATAGTTTCATGGAAGTACTCTTTAAAGTACTGCCAGTTTTAGATTACCAAAGAATACATTCTCCACATGGATGCCGCTTTGTGCCCATGGACAAATACGCTGTCCACCACTGAGAAAGTCTTTTTGTTGTTGTTTGTTTGCTTTTTGCACAGATGTTTCAAACAATCCAACAGGCACACACTTATTGGGAAGGAAGAACAGCTCTGTGGGTTGGGGTTGGAAGAAACTGCATTTTGAGCTTCATCTGGCAACAAAGAACAAGAACAAGACCACCAAGAAATTGTTGAGGTTTTGTTTTATTTCCACGTCTCCTGCTTTTTAGCTCCTTTGTGTCATTTTAAAGGTTGTTACTTTGACTCGGGGGCTCAAGAGAGACATCTGTAACCACCCCAGTCCCAAATGAACTTCCTACCCTTTCATTTAAATTTCAAACACCTCATAAAGGCATTTGTTTGGCAAGAGCTCAAAACCCAATCACAACTGCTGCCATAAATATCTTGTGATACTTACAAGGCACCAGGGGATCTCATTTGGGAGAAGCTGAAATTGATATGTTTAGCATATCTTGTTCTTTCCTACAGAATTTCTGTTTTTTTTTCTTTCTTAACCGCCGCATTTTTATTCATAAAGGCTATACCCTGAGGGTCAGCAGTCAACTGCATGCAACTGCCTACATTCTTGTGCTTTCTTTTTCTTTTTAAAGATATTAGATTACGATGAACGAGATTAGAGTAAAAGTATGGCTTTAAAAGTAGCTCCTCATGGCTCACGGTTTAAATATATGGACAAAAAGATGGCTTTTATTAAATAACAAATCATTGTAAATACTGACATGATCTGCTTTTGATTAACAGTTCTGATTTCTCATCACAGTCATTACTATATGGATTCCAGAAAAAATCCTTTCCCTTTAAGCTTCCGAAGGTCCCGTTTGTGTTGGTAACAGATTTTTTCTAAATGTTTTAGCTGAAATTTGTTAGATTCCGTGTGTAATGTTTGCTTTGAAATCCAGGTGTGGCCTAACAGCAGCCAACTTTACATGATCTATGGTCCAGCACAAAATGGTTGTCTGCGGTTCACTTCAAGTCGAGCTGCATTTTCCAGATGACTGCGCAAGTTCTCTCTATGGGGTGACTGTCCTTCACGAGAATGTGTTGCGTAAGAATTACAGTAGGTAGGAAGGTGACTTAAATATAAAATAAATGGTCATTTCTCATCATTTCCATGGAATCAAAAATGTTTTGCGCAATTGACTTTGGGTGTGATTTCTAGAAGCTGATGAAGCTGTAAGCACACTGGAGAACATCATAGAAGTTTAAACAATTATGAATAGTTTTAATTTTCAGTTTTAACTATTTATTCATGCACTTACGTGCCGCTGTGGCCTGAATGCATGAAAATAAGGAGTCCTATTTCTACTCTCAGGCATTTGTCACCTGTGTCACTAATTCTGTTTATAACTTTAATGAACAGAAGTCCTTGGTGTAGCCAAAGGGTAGAAGCTTTCTGATTCAGTGGCTTCTTGCAAATATGTGGTTCTTCTTGCTTCGCTGAGCAGTGACTTTCAGCTCATGCCAAGGCAGTTTGCAGCTGAGGATGAAACAGGAGATGAAAATTAGCACCTTGAAATCCGGTTTCTCAGACGGATGACATCTGAATGTTATTTGCGAAGAAGGTTTCTTGCATTTTTGTGGCAGAGGAGAGTGGAGTAGAAGATTGACAGGTGGATTGGTTCACCGTTTGCAGTGATGTGAACGCTGCTGAATAACTTGAGAATCGAACCCGATAAGGTCACAAATATAAGCAGTGTAAATGAACTTTCTTCTGAAGGGTGTTGGGGCTCAGCCTTTGAATTAGGATCAAAATTGGTGATTGATTATTTGAGACTAGAGACTAGAGTTGCTCCCCCATGTTGAAAGTAGACCGCTGAGGTGGTTTGGGCTTCCGTCTAGGATGCTTCCTGGGTGCCTCCTAGGTGAAGTGTTTTAAGGCCTTGGGGTGGACCTGAGGCCTCCCGGAGGGATCATATCTTTCAACACACGTGCAAACATCTCAGTATCCCTCTTGAAGACCTGGAGGAGGTGGCTGACATGTACCAGGTTGGTTGAAGATCTAAAGCAGCCAAATGAGCAAAGAAATTATTAGAATAAATAAAAATCAATAAAATAATAATAATAATCACCCTCTCTTTAGCATCAAGCATTAACTGAGGGTTTTCTAGTTAAATCAACCAACCAAATCTTATCCTGGTAGAGAAAAGAATATATACTTTTGGCAGTACACAAATCCTATAGACTCCCATTCAAAAAATAAAACAATTAAAAATTAAATTACAGTCATTACAGATATCAGAAGCCACAGTTATAGGCTTAACATTACTTTCAGCAATCATACAAACCAGATACATAGTCATTCAAAGCTTGAACCAAATGAGGTTCCTAAATAAAAACAGAGGTTTACATTGGCTTGGCAATGTTCTAGCCTTACCCCGGCATATCCAAAACAGCTTAAATTCCAAATATCCTCCACCTGCTTCGTTGTCTCTGCACTGCCTCGGATCCACGTTGGGAGTTCTGTTACTTTGTGACTCATCTGCTGGTTATTAAAGTACTCACTTTGTTGTAAATGCTGTCTGGTAACATTGGCTTTTCATGTTCCTTTCATGTGTTTTTTGGCCACAGAGAAAGTGAGGCTAAAGCAGAGGCCCCAGCTGTATCAGGAAACCAGAAACATAACGAGTGCAGATGTGGGATGCTCTTCCTCAGCGGGCTATGCAGTGACCAATACCAGAGGTCTGATGTGGTTTTTGAATCACCAGCAACACCCACAGTTTTGTATCAGCTGTCTTTGACTGGAAATAAGAGTGGTGTTTATCTCAGGGGAGAAAAGAGCAGGACAGGAGAGAAAACAGAAGAGCACTTACAAAGATTTGCGCACAGCTTGGAAGTGAAAAAAAAAACAAGCTGTCAAAACGTTGCCTTTAAATGATGGTGCCAGGGATAAGACAAATAAATGTGCAGCTGCTCTTGAAGACGGAAAATAAATTGCACATTCCCAGTCATCGAGAGTTGTAAAAAATATTTCATTTATGTATTACAGATTTTGCAGATAGAAACTTGTGTGGGCTAGCCTGTTCTGGTCAAAATCATTAGGATAGAAAGTTTTATAAATTATTACTATCATTCACAAAGACAAATTAAATAAAATAAAATATACAGCTGTCAAATGGTTACATACATTTATAATGGGCATGAATATCACAGTTTTAATCGTTTCTTTGAAGTGTTTTCTAAGGTGGAATGATTGTACAAGCGTATATGTGTGTAACACCTCAAACAGGTGTTTTTGCTATCCCTCAGCAAGCTTCTGGCATAATTCTTCTATGCATAATTGTTTGGTTTCCTGGTGTAGTTTTTAAACATAGTCCACAAAATTTCAATAGGGGCATTGGGAGAGCAAAAAACTTGACGTTAGCCTGCTTTATCCATTCCAAAATCAGGTTTTGTGCTTTTGATATAATTCCTGTTTCAA